ACTGGCGATCCTTGACGCTGGGTCCGACATCCTCTACGTGAAGCTCATCGACAATGAGATCCCAAGACAGACTCGACAAGTACGCGCGGGAGACCTACGACATATCTTTGCTACGAAATGGTTTCCCTGGATGGGACGCCCAAAGGTCATGCGCTAAGACCAAGTTGGGAGTGTCATATCCGACGAGTTCAGGGAGTGGGTCGAGAGCCTAGGCATCTACTGAGTGCCCTGCGCCGCCGACGCCCACTGGCAGATCGACAATATCGAGCGCGCGATCGAATAGTTCAAGAAGGCCTTCGACGCCTTCGATGAGATGGTCTCTGCCGAGATGCCGACTACTGAGGTGATCGGACTTCAGGTAACGGCTAGGAACGACCTGATCAAGATCGACGGTTTCAGCCCGCTCCAACGGTATGCGGGTCGGGCACCACATGGCACCACCGTCAACCTCTCTGACGAGCCACACAGCCTGCCTCTCATCAGCGCCGAACTGCAGGACGGCGGTACCTTCAGCAGAGACGCTCAAATACAACGACTGCCGAGGCTGGCACACATCCAGACGGAGAACTCGGACCGCGTCTAGCGAGCCTTTGGCAGCAAGGTTCAGGTCCTTCAAGAAATATGAGACTGGTGACCTGGTCTTCGTGTACAGGCGGCTCCCACCTGGAGCCTCGCGGAAAAGGACAGCCTCGTTCCATGCCATGACGAGGTCGTGTCACGAACCTGCGAGCTCTGAACATCGACCTGGTCTACCAAGGACAATGGTCAACATCAGTGGCTGGTCGCCTCTACCGAGTTGCTCCAGAACAACGCTTCGACCAGCCTCCCCGTCCGAGGAGGCGATGGATTCCCTACGCTCGCGCCGCGAGCATCATGGGACGTGGACATTTGGCGAGGTCCTGAAGCAACCCGACACCAACGAGGTGATCGACCTTTCCAACGAATCCCCACCGACTGGGGAGGACCTTGCCGCGAACGCCGGCGAGTCGGTCAGCGCCCACACCTTCATGGGCAACCCGAGCGTACCCCTGGCAATCGATGAGGACGACGACCTACCAGCCCCTCAAGGAGAACCTCGGAGCCTGGGACCAGGAGGTGGCGGAAATGGCAACTTACCTTCGGCCCCACCTGGACTCGAAGGACCTCCTCTACCCGGGCCGAGACTGTCGAGGAGGATGCGACACAAGGGAAACCCTTGGCTCGAGACGAGTGCTGATCCAGACCCTGTCATCAGGCCAGCACCACCAGAGGTTCCATTAGGCCTTCCTCAACCTGGCGACGAACCAACTGACTAACCAAGCGAAGAAGCTGGGCTTCCTGAACATAAAATCATTATGGAGGCCCCTCCCAATGACGACCAAGAGGACCACGCTTCCCAATACCCTATTGCCGTGGACACGGACGAAGACGACCTGAAAGAAGCGACAGCGCCCGTTGTCAATAACAAGCGTTATCGGCAATCCCCAGGACCGTCAGAGCCACCTTTCAAGAAGCAACGGATCGCCGTTGCCACCCAGGAGGCCTTATTCTACGACCTGCAGGAGGGAAACTTCTACGGGGACTACGCGCACGGCATCCAACAATACGACGAGGCGGAAAATGATGAGCTCATCGTGCTGGACATGCCCGTCAACAACGAGAACGCTCTCATAGACTACAAGGACGACCACAACAACTTCGTGGCATCTCAGGCCCGCAAGAGCCGAGTGGAGGTCTCCTTCAAGAAGGCGACCGCAGAGGAGAAGACACTGCTACTCGAGGCTTAGCAGAAGGAAAGCACATCCGTTCTCAGCACGAAGGCGGCCAGGATCCTGAGCAGACAAGGGAACGACCCAGCACGCCTCCTGCGCTGCCGCTTCGCGCTGACCTGGAAGAAGGACGAGCACGGCAACGTGCTCCGAGGCAAGGCCAGACTGGTCGCGCTCGGCTTTCGCGCCCCCGACTTGCTCCACATGCGGACGGAGTCCCCCGTCGCCTTTCGACGGGCACGTCAACTTCTACTGGCCATGGCAGCAAGACACAAGTGGAAGCTGGAGAAGGCAGATGCAGTGACAGCCTTCCTCCAGGGAGAGACCGACGAGGAGAAGAGATCTACGCGGACCCTCCTAGAGACGTCCACCAGGCCTTCGGCATGGGCGACGGCCAGGTCCTACAGTTCCTCAACCTGATGTACGGATTCGTACACGCGCCTCGCAAGTGGTGGCTCCACTTCAAGGACACGCTCAAGACGTTCGAGCTGGAGGCTGTTCAGTGCGAGCCTTGCGCCTGGGTCATCCGCGACGGCGACAAGCTGGTTGGCATGGTGATCCTACACGTCGACGATATGATGATCGCTGGTGACCATATGAGCTCGGCCTTCCTCAAGAACCGTACCGACATCCAGAGGGAATTCGAGTGGACGCCCTGGGAGAATCGAGCCTTCGTACAGTGCGGCATCAATATCCGACATAATGAAGATTTCACCTGCAGTCTCGCCCAGGACAACTACAGCCCGAACGTGGAGCCCATCAAGATACGACGTGGCCGAACACCCACAAAGGGAGCTTGGGACAAGGAGCGAGCAGACCTACGAGGCCGACTTGGTACAGTTGGACGGCGTGCCCAGCAGTCGACCCCGTGGCTCATGGCAGAAGCATTTCTAATCCAAGCCGGGATTCCGCCAGCCACGGTCTCAACCATCCAGAAGATCAGCGAGCTCATCCGCACCATGAACGACACTGCCCACGTGGTCATGCTCATTCCGGCCATCGACCAAATCGCCGTGGTTGGCCGGGGCGTCGCGGCCTGGGCAGCCCGAGTGACCGGCGAATCCCAAGGCGGAGAGATAATCGTGCTGGCCCCGCTGTCCTTCTTCAGCGGTTCGACGGAGACTGTGGCACCTGTCTCATGGAGATCCCGCAAGTTGCCTCGCGTGGCGAGAAGCAGTACGAGCGCGGAGGTCCACATGATGACTTAGACCTTGGACGCGATCAACTACGTGCGACTTTTCATATTCGAGCTGGAGTGCGGTCTCGTGGACTACACCTCCAAGCAACACGTGAACGACACCATCTCAGCCTGCCCTGGCGTCCTGACCACAGACGGGAAGCCGGGATACGACGCGATCGAGACGAGTGAGTCAACTGGTCTTGGGCTACGCGACAAGAGGACGAGTATCGAGTGCCTTGGCATCAGACAGCAGAAGGAGCAGACGACCCTCCAGATACGCTGGGTACACAGTGACGCTATGCTGGCCGACGGATTGACCGAGGATCGTGAAGTCAATGTCTTACTGAAGTTCTGTAGATCAGGACAGCGCTGGAGATTGATAGATGATCCTCTCCACCGCAGTGCAAGGAAACGCAAGACCGAAGGCATGGACAAGCTCGACCATGGCAAGCCCTTATCCGACGACGATGGAGATGCGGTGCTGGAGGCCCCAGTCCACTTCACCCGCGGCAATCCCTACGAGCAGATGTACCCTGCCAGAGACAATGCCCTGTGGGGCACGGTGTAGCCGCTCCCACGCTCTGTGCTTCCTGCGGGTCCAGGAGTCAATAGCAGGCCTCGATGTCGCAACATCGGTCTTCAACTTTTGGGCATGCAACTCACAGCCCAGAGCATGCCTGACTAGAGCCTACTTACGACAGATGGCCGGACTCCAGAGGCCGAATGCAGATCAGGGCTCACCACCAGCCCCAATGATACGTATATCCGCGTTTCACGGCATATCGTGTTCCCCACTGCGTTTGCAACCTAGCCATGCTGAATGGTCTCTCCGAAAACCCTCGTCGAACCCCCAAGCCCGAGAGGCTCATTATATATCTTTGACGTGTTTCCAAAACGTTTCTTCCGAAACCGTCTTGGCCCAAGCCTTTTATATTGACAAAGGGTCGTTGGACTTCTGGTGTGCTCCTGTGAGGCACAAGACTGCGAGCTGGCCCGCACCAGCAAACAGCTCCCTTCTATCTTCATCGCGCGACCAGCCTCGCGCTTCCCACTGCCCATACTTCCCCGACATCAGCATCGAGAGGTACCAACACGTCGACAGGAGAACAGAGGAGACCAATCTCCAAGGATTCAGCACAGGGCAGCGGCTCGAGCGGGACCATTGCAAAGAGGGCCCCCAGACGGCCCAAGAGGGCTCCTACACGGCCTCACGACGACCCCAAGAGAACCCTCAGACAGCCAAGAGGGCCCCAAGACGGCTCAATACGGCTCCTAAGGCGGCCCGAGAGAGCCCCAAAACAGCCCAAAAGGTCGATCGGACATAATGTCTGGCGCCTCTCCCAGGCGCAGTCACTGTCCTCGCCCCGACTGGGGCGGCCCGTTCCACGCACTGAAGCCACCGTGGGAGCCGTGGACGCCATAGAGAAGACCATCCCACCACTATCTCTCTGGGTCGCCGTCGGAGCTGTCAACGCCGTAGAAAGAACAACCATCTCACCACCACCTGTCTCCGTCGCTGGCGGAGCCGTCGACGCCATAGAGAGAATCATTCCACCATCTCCAGTCTGGGTTGCGGTTGGAGCAGTCGATGCCATTGAGAGAACCATCTCACCACCGTCCGAGCCAGACATCGGGGCCGCTGTTGGAGCAGGCGACGCTGCAGCGTGATCCATCACACGACCGCCCGACAAACGTACAAGCACCTGTTCTGAACGACACTGAAGCATGTCCGCGAGACACGAGCAGGAGGATGAGGAGGTGATGAGATAGAAGGAACAGAAGGGAGGAGAAGGAGGGACGAAAAGGGGAGTCAAAATGTTTTCTCCACTTCATCCTCCGTTCCCCCCCCCCGCTCTCCTCACTCCCCCGCATGCAGTTCCTCGTCCTGCTCCCCCTCCCCCTCCCCCTCCCGCCGTCCGCCCTCCTTTTCCTCCCGCTCCTCCCTCACTCTCTCCCTCTTCCTCGCCGAGGACGACGAGGACGAGTGGAGGGACGAGAAGGACGAGGGCGACGACGACGGCGGCGGCGAGGGCGGCCGCGGCAACCTCGCAGCAGCATCGTCGCCAGCGGCAACGGCAACCGGCACGGCTCCCGCGGAGGCTCCCGCGGACGGCCGCGGGGCACCGTGGGGGCGACGGCTGGCGGCAGGGCGCCGCGGCCCGTGGCGATGCGGGCGCACGGCGTGGCCTCTGGCGGCGTGGTGGGCCGGCCACCCAGAAGGGGCCGTAAGATCCGGTTGCAAGAGGTCTTGCCCACTCTCCAGACGGCTCCAAGATGGCCCCAGCTGGCGTCCAAGATGCCTCCAGGATGGCCTGGATGGCCTCCCAGGCGGCCCACGAGGGTCCAGTAGACTTCCAAGGCCGCCAAAGAAGCCTCCAAGACGGCCCACGACTGCCCAAGAGGTGCCCAAGAGGCCTCCACGACGGCCCAAGAGGCCTCCGAGAGGTCCTCCAGGAGGGCCCGAAGAGGCTTGAATCATTGATTTCCCTCAGGTCTTGGGAGGATTTTCGTACTTGTTTTGTTCGGCCTTCCGACGGCCCACGACGGCCCAAGAGGCCCCCGAGATCGCCCCCAGAGCGCCCAAGAGGCCTCCAAGATGGCCTCAGGACTGCCCACGAGACCCCCAAGACGGCCCCAAGAGGGCCCCAAGACGGCCCACGAGGCCTCCAAGACCTGGAGCATTCCAACAGCCCGAGAGGCTCCCCAAACGGCTTCCGACGGGCCAGGCGCCCACCACGACGGCCGAAGATGGCCCTAAGATGGCCTAGGACGGCCCGAGAGGCCTCCAAGGGGGCCCCCAGGAAGGCTCGAAGGGCCAAAATCATTGATTCACATTCAGTGATTGAAGAATTTTGGCATGTGCTTCTTTTCGGCCTACCGACGGCCCGAGACGGCCCAATAGCCCCCAACGATCGCCCCAAGAGGACCCAGGATGGCCCAAGAACTGCCCAAGAGGCCCCCAAAACTGCCCCAAGAAGGCCAAGACGGCCCTAGAGGCTTCCAAGACGCCCAAAATGGCCTCCAAGACGGCCCTTGAGCACCCCAGGTCGGCCCCGAGAAGTCCCCAAAACGGCTTCCGACGGCGTCTGACGGGCCCGGAGCCCACCAAGATTGCCAAAGAAGCCCCCGAGAAGCCCCCAAAGGCCACCCAAAAGCCCGAGGAGGCCCCCAAGATGCCGGCCCCAAGGGTGTTCCCATAGGCTCCCAAGATGCCCCTCCTCCTTCTCCTCCTCCTCCTCCTCCTTCTCCTCCTCCTCAGTAGCCATTTGGGCTCAAGGCTAAACGTTGTGAAAGGCTACAGACACCCGAGATTCAGCGATTAGCTTTGGCTACATCCGTGGCCAAAGTTCGAGAGGTTCTGGAGCGCAGGGCTCCAGGGCAGCATCACGATTCTCCACTACAGCCCCAGCCCCAGGCCCGCCCGCTCCAGCAGCGTTGCGGCATGGCTCCTCATCATCGGTATTTGGTGTGCTCCAAAGCTGGTTGCGAGGGTTGGGAGTGGGCCAACGCCACAGCGTGCTCCCGCGGCGCGTCTCTCAAGCAGCAGCTTCTCTCGGCGGGCAATCGAGGAGCTAGCAGGCCCCAGCCCCGACCGCCGCGCCACCATCGGGAAGGCCACCAGCAGCGCAGTCGTCTCGAGCCCGGCGACAACGCCGCCGACGAACAGGAGCCAGCCAGCAGCGCCAAGGCGCCAGACCCCGTGTCTCTGGCGCAGGCCCAGGTCACTTTCTGGCTTCTGGCGCAAGTGGGTTGGAGTGCAGGGGAAAAACAAAACATATAACGATGCTTTGGAGATCTAAAAAAAGCAAAGCTGGAGGCCCTCCGCGGCAAGAGCCTGGACCAGCAGACTCAATCGCTCAGAGGGCAGATCACTACCATCAAAGCGATGCTCGAGGACCTCGAAGCGGACCTCCAGGACACCGCAGCTCAGATCTCCACATTGGCCGCCTCATGCCAGTGCCGCACGAAGGAGACCGCAGACGCCAAGGAGAGGCTCCAGATGTTGGAGGCCCAGCGCGCCCTGGCAGCATCAGCAGCAGCGCAGGAGGCCACAGCCCAGAGCGACATCTCCAACTTGGCGCACGCGGCGCGCAGGCAAAGATCCCCTCTGGAGGCGCGGCCACTCCCGAGCCCCAGCAGAATGTACAGTCCCTGGCAGATGCGTTCGACAAGCTCCAGCAACAGCACGATCAGGCCATGGCAGCGCAGGCAAGGACGCCCTCAGCCCTGGCAGCGGCAATCACGCCTAGGCAACAGCAGCCACCGCCGTCCCGCTCCAAGCACCGCCGCTGTTCGCAGCAGCAGCAGCGCCCCAGCCAGAGCCCTCGCAACACATCCCTGTCGGTCCTGACTCGGAGGAGGAGGATGAGGCGATGGCCTTCGTGGGCTTCGGCTGCAGGGACAAGCGCACAACGGACGCGCCCCCGGAAGTGGCACAGCTCATGGAGGAGAACGCCGACACAGAGACCGCCAAAAAGATCAAGGAGGCCGTCGCCACAGCAGGTGGCGCGAGCAAGGCAAACCAGTCTAGCCTTCGACCTGCAAATTGTAACGTTCAATGGAAGCTGTTGGAACACCTTCGAGCATTTCCTATATTCAGATTTGGCCAATTACGTGACGGTGATTTGTGTTCGAGAACATAGACTCACTGATGGGGGCGTTATTGCTCAGAAGATTCAGCGGTGCCAGCGACGGGGCTGGCTTGCTCACATCCCACCAGCAGCAGTGAATGAGAACTCTGGGCGCGTCAACGGGGTTGCCATCGTAATCAGAGACCAGCTCGACCTCGGGATCGAGCCCATGCTTTTCCCTGCCTCGGTCGCCCCCAGCCGCCTGACGGGCATATGCCTAGATGCGCCAGGTCTTCCCAAGGTGGGTATTTTGTGCACATACTTCAAATCGTCAGAAGGTCTAGGCGAGACGAACCTAGGCCTATTGGCAGATATCGCAGTTCAGCAGGAACTCAGTAAGCACCCCATCATTGTCGCAGGGGGCTTCAACATGCCCCCCGAGAAAATCGAAAGCACCGATTTCCTCCATGGGGCCTCGCTCCGTTTGGTCACCCCAGAGGCCCCCGCGTGCTGAAAGCTCACATCGCAAAGCATCCTGGACTATTTCCCGATCGGCGAGGTCCAAACGTCGGCCAGTTACCCTTTGTCGCCGCACAGACCAGTCTGCCTAGACGTTCAAGGCAGCAACAAGCTCCTGATTCCAATGCTGAAGAAGCCGCAGAGGTTACCTTCGGCAGCGCCGATCGGGCCCCAGCAGCGCCCGCGCCAGTGGGTGCCGAGCCGGGCCGCACCACAGTATGCCGATTCCCTGCTCACCGATGCAGTCAAGCCTCTCGAAAAGCAGCAGCAGCAATCGGTCCTCGGTTTTCGTTGCTTCGCCGTCGTTCACGACCTCGAGAAGTCAATCAACAACATCACCGATGCCCCGCCTGGGCACTCGTCGGCCCGCCGAGCGAGCCCCCCCGAATTCAAATGGGTCAGAGCGGAGCAGAACGAACATCGGACCAGAACATGTTGGAGATCCCTGGGGTGGGGGGGTGGGCGGGGCGTACAGATGGCTTCGAAACAGACTCGTCAACATAAATTTCGCTGTCGGCAAGCAGGGCCATTCGCGGGCAACGCATCTGATCGCGAGCCTGCACGGTCCGCCAGCAGAGTTTCACACTGCCCTGAGCCTGGCCGCTGCTACCAGCCTGTGCGACCTGTTGGAAGCAGATGCTGCAGCAGGAGTCTTATCCGCGGGCACAGCCGACCAAGCTGTAGGCGCCGTCCTCCAGGACCTGGACAAAACGCATCGAGTGCGAGCGCGTTTCTCAGAGGCGTCCAAATCCTGGGCCTCGTGAGACCAAACTTCTCTCCAGGGAAGTGTCGGCTGGGCCCAAATGTGAACAGGGAACCTTGACGCTTGGAAGCCAGCCACCGCAGTGGCAAGTGGTCAGGACGACCCAGCAGCATCCTTGAAGGCGAAGCTGAACGGCTGGCGAATCTTTCGGGCACCTCTCGGAACCGCAAGTTTCTCCGATTCTAAGGGGCATCGACGACAGAGTTGCCCTGGGGCCCATGTCGGGCCAGATAATCCAACGCGCCGCCAGAAGCTTCGCCGCGAGCACGGCTTCCACGCGGGGCGGAGTCCACCCTAGGCACCCCGCCCTGATCACAGAGAAGCAGGCGGACCTGATCGCACAGCTGCTCCGGGTGATTGGAAGGCTCGGTTTTATGCCCTCTCAGATGCAGGCCATAATTTCGGTGCTCACCATGAAACACAAGCAGCAAGACCCATCAGCCACTAAACCAACGATGCGTTCTATTGGGATGATGTCAGGTCGGCATCGAGTGCGGGCCAAGAGTTCGCCAATCAGCCGCACGAGAATGGGAGCGGCAGCGCGGGGGGGGAATGTTTTAGAACATGAAACAGGCCACTCCATAGTCGACCTCGTTTTCAAAGCTTAGACTGCGAATGCTACCGCAAGCGAAATGAGCAAGTATGTTCTGACATGACCCTATACGATCTCAGCAATTACTATGAGCATATTCGCCGCAGCAAGCTTGCAACCAGAGCGTTAAAGAATGGGTTCCCAGCTATACTTCTTAGGATCATGCTCAGCATCTACGCTAGCCCCAGGTTCGGTCGGTAAAACTGTGCATGGGGTAGCGGCAGGATGAAGGTGCGCTACGTACCTCATACAGATGTATACCATAGACCCCCTCGACTCCTGGACCCAGCAGAACCCAATTTAGACCTCCATATGTTTATAGACGGCCCCCGCAGTAAGTCGCATTCGGTCCACATGAATAATGGCACCCTGAAGTCAGACCGAGGGTCGAGAAGCCTCATCCGGTGCATCCAGCGGGATCTAGACAGCTCGGTCGCCCCCGCCAAGACCCAGATGCTAGCCTCCCGCGCAAAGTTGCGCAAGGGACTCAAGCGCAAGCTTCGAGATCAAGCAGGCACGTCGCTGGACACCTCGGGCACCAACCTCGGCTGCGAGACCGCCGCGGGCGCCCCCCGGCGCCGATGGGGAGAGGGCCACCTCGCCACCGCTAGGATGAACAAGGTCAAGAAAAGGATGAGGAGATTGGGGGCTATCAGGAGGGCAGGGGGAGACACCAAGAATATCTACAACGCAGGTATCGTCGCGGCAACATCGTTCGGCCGCGAAGCTACGGGCCCCAACG